TTTTATTATTTTATTGTATTTTGTTTAAGAAAGAGTCCTAAATTTCAACCAGAGACAGCTTTGAAAGACGTTAGAAGATAATTTTCATATCATTGTCCATTGAAAAAAAAAAAAAAACTAAAAAATAAAATAAAAAATATAAAAAAAAATCAAAAAAATCAAAAAAAATATTCTTTTATTCAAACCGTTGGGTAAAGACAACCAAATTTCCCAACATTTGTTTTTTATTTTATTTTATAATTAATATTTTTATTTTTATTCACGAAAATAAATAAACCACATTATGCTTTCATTTCATTGCATGTGTGCGTCAACAAAATTTTTTTTTCTTTTAATGCCATGTATTTAATTTTAAACTACTCTCGCTATTTTTTTTTCATTGGCACTTTTTTACATTTTCTTTATTTGGATTTGAAATATAATAAAAAATCTATAAAATGAATACTATATATATTTTTTTTTAAAATAAAAAAAAGATATTTTTTTTTTCAAAAAAGTTAAAAAAGATATTTGTATTTATTTTTTTACTTTTTTTTTTTTTTTTTCTAATTTTTTAAAAAATAAGAGTTTTTCATTAATAACTATTTTTTAAAATAACATTTTCTGTATTTTTTATTTAAAAAAAATAATATTTAGTTTTTTTTTTTATTTGTGTTTATAAATATTTATTTATTTTTTGATGGTTTAATTAAATATTGATTAAAATGAATTAATTTTAGAAATAAATAAAATCTTTTAATAAATAAAAATGATTGATTAAAAGGTCCCTCCCTTTTTAAATTTTAATAAAAATGTATAAAAAAACTTTCCATAATAACTATCAATAATACCCGATCAAGTATATTATTCGTATGCTTTGTCAAAAAAAACTCTAGCATCATAAAATTTTTCTTTGTAAAATTGAAATTGGCCAATTCACACAGAACAATCAGTACTACTTGGACGTTTTATCGCCATCATAGTTTTCGGAAATCCAGTCATTTAACAAATTTGATTTATGAAATAGTTCTTCTAATGATGCTGTCATACCCCTCCACTGCTGTTCTTTCTTTGTTGTTGATGATGATGTGGCGGATGGGGATAATGAGATAAATGATGGTGGAGTTGGATGTGGTGAGGAGGGTGGAGTCATAGGTGCACCTGGTATTGATGCGGGCGTTGATTGTGTTAATACCAAGTTTGGGGAAGATGATGAAGATGAATAGTTTGATAATAGATATTTAATTAGTTTGCCTTTTATAGTACCTCTTATGATCCATCTATTTAAAAATGTTTGGTGTTCTATATCTACATCTGCATTTGTTTCTAATTGCTCTAAAATAATTCTTTGATGCTTAATTGCTATATTTTTTCAAAGTCATCTAATGAGAATTTTAAATTTGTGCAAACATCAATGACCAAATCAATAATTAATTTTGATTGCTTTAAAGTTGATTGTTTATTCCATTTGATGAATTTTAAATTATATATTTATATATATTTATAATTTAATTTTGCTTTTAAATAGAATTTATGAAAGGCGATAGAATGCTTACAATACTTTCACCCTTAGCCAATACTATGGGGGAGGAGAATACAGATTCGTGGTTTGACTTATTATTGGTCTGAAAAAATTGCAATCATTATCATAAATATATAAGAAATTGTCTTATATAGTTTATTTTATTTTCATATTAATAAGGTTTATCTAGTTTTTCAATTCCTAAAAACAATTAATTGGAAAAACAATTTCTAATTTTTTCACCAAACCAACCTTCATCAAAAATAAATAAATAGAAAAATCAATATGGATATAGTGTCTAATTATATGGTAGATTCTCACCAAAAACAATATAAATATGAAAGAATTTTACATTATTGAAAGATAAAATAAAATAAATAAATAAAATTATAATTTAAATTTATTAAAAAAATTTCCTTTTTTTTTTTTTAATTAATGGTTTAAAAATTTCTTATTTAAATTTTTCACAAGTTCCATTTCATAAATAGTATATCGTGTATAATTTTTAACAATCAATTAAATAATGAGTGAATATTCTCTTTTTAGATAACATTACATATTTTTTAATAATCTTTTTTTAAATCTAATAAATAATAAATATTTAAATTATAAAAAATACTTAACATTTTTTCACTATATTTAATTATTTATTTTTTACCTCTGTTAATAATCTAATTAATTTTAATTTTTTTCTTTTTTTGTATTTCTTTTTTTTTAAAATGAAAAAGTTAATCAGTTGTTTTGGGTATCATTTTAAAGCAAATTTAATGAAATTTTCATTTCAAAAAATATTGTAAATCAAAATACTCAATTTAAAAATGATATACAATAATAATAATATATATTCGAATTAAAAAAATAATTTTATTATATATAAAAAACTTAACCCCAATTCTAAACACTACTCCATTTTAAAAATTTTTTTTTTCTTTAAAAATTTAAATTTTTTTTAATTTTTTTTTTTTATTGATTATAAATTATAAATTATAAATTTACAAATAATTTTTATTTTTTCTGCCATATTATAAAACAATTATCAATATAAAATAAAATTATTTAAAAATTAAAGTTAACAAATTCAAAGTCAAACTTCAATTTTTCAAAGATTTTATTCCAGTCTTTTGCGTTCCGCCAAACCCATCCCAGCCCAAGCAAGTCTAGTCTATTCCGTCCAGTCTTGTTCAATTTTTCACACACCTTTTTATTTTTACACACACCTTTTTATTTTTTTTCAATTTATTTTATTTTATTTTTTACTTTCACATTATTATAATTTTTCCCACTTTTTTGCATAATAATAATAATCTTCAAATCATTTCTCTACCACTTTCACAATAGCTTTGGTTTTAAAAATGATTCAAATTATTATATTATTTTTAATAACTTTTGTATTAGTTGTTTATCTTAAATGTTTTTCACCTTTAAAATTATATTGTAAAAAAAACAAAAAAAACACCAAAAATAATAATAGCAAAGGCACCTATTCACACAATACCCCATCACCACAATATGCTGTCTCTTTAACATCCTATCTTGAACAAAGACTACGTCAAGAATCTACCTATCCATATGTAGCCCAAAATAGCCCACCAGTTCAACATTCCCAATATTATAACCAACCACAACAAAGTTTTATGAATTCACCTGCACCACAATCATTCAATTCCCCACCAATTCAAAAATCACAATATTTTTATAACCAACCACAAAAAAATTATATGTATTCACCTGCACCACAATCATTCAATTCCCAACCATTTCAACAATCACAATACTATTATAACCAACCACAACACAGTTATATGTATTCGCCTGTACCACAATCATTTAATTCCCAACCAGTTCAACAATCAAGATATTATTATAGCCAACCTCAACAAATGCATAATAGATACTAATGCCCCAAATTCGCTATATGATCCACTTGATAGTCCATTTTATGTAGAAAAACATCAACAACAAGGATCAGGCTATAGTACTACAGGTGCACCATCATAATATCAACAAAATTTTAAAACTGAGGGAAATTACATTTTCACAGGCAAACAACAATCATTTACTTCACCGCAACAATCTTATAGTAAACAATCATCCGTTTATCATCAATAAATCAGGATCATGTCATTCAATAGGTGTATCAATATCATCCAATATCCCAAAACCACAGTACAGTAATGTTAAAGAACCATCTTTCGAAATATTTGATGAGAATAGTGGGAATGGATTACACACTTCATAAAGCTTTGTTTTATAATATAATCATCGTGGGAATAAAAATAACTGATTACAATAATATTTATTTTACAAAATACAATAATCTCAAAATAAACCAAGGTAGATACAGCAAAAAACAACTATAACAATACAGAATATATATATAAAAGCACTCAAACAAAGTAAGTAAATTTAAAACAGCCCCATTTATATTTAGAAAAAAGGAAAATTAAATATGAATTACTAACAATAAATTTAACATTTTATTACCAACAATTTAAAGTTATTAGTTGCATTAGGAAAATTAGAGGAATCAATTTAAGTTAGTAAATATCATTAGTATCCAAAAAAATAGTAAATTTCACCTGTGAAGAGGGACATATAGACATCTATTTACAATAAGTAAAATGGTGCATTTAGTTAAAAATTTAAAAATAGGTTCATTTAAATTAAATATTAGATAGTTCAGATAGTTTCAAATACAGTCATTCTGTTGTATATATTGTAGTAGGTAATCTAATACTAGGTATGTATTTCAGACTTTTAATTGTTTATAAGGAAAATTTTCATCAAACTAATTTTATATAATTTTTTTAATGTTAGATTCAGTTACCAAATTAGATGAATGGCATATGAAACTGTTATAGTGGCATCACCCAGTTAACATATAGAATTCTCACAAAGCTGTACTAACCAAGTTACAACCAATTGTTTAGAAACATATAATTCAAAAATATATTAAATTATAAGAACAATAAACTACAATCAGCTCCACCTTTGTGTTTTAGAATCATTTTAAACCAATAATAACCAAGTACAATAAATAATCAAATTAAAAAAAGATTCAGTTATACAAATAAATATGAAAATAATTAAGTCGAAGTTTTTCAACCTATTAACTATTTGAAGAATATCATTATATTTACCCTGGCCAAGTATTTATAATTGAACTCAAATAGTTTGAATGATTTTGAAAACTGAAGTAAGCAAAACTGTCACAATGGTTATAATATAAAATATATTTTGAAATATGGTTCTCAAAGAAATTAGGGTTCAAGTTTAACAAATAGGAATAATATTATTAAACTATAATTATAGAAAATTAATGAAATAAATTAAATAAAATTAATATAATAAATAGAATAAATAAAATAAATTATAAAAAAATAAAAAAACTAACAAGATATAGTTATATATGTATGAGGGATGATAAAAATGGAAAAATTTTTTATATAAACTATTATTTTATTTTTTTTATTTTTTTATATATATTTATTAATAAAATAAATATTATTCTTAAAATTATTTTATTTAAAATTTTTATCTTTTAAATAATTAGTTATTTAAAATTTGTTTAATTTCTGATTTTGATAATTTCATAGTTGGTTTTAAGGTAAAAGCTAAATCTTCTGGTAATGGACAGTAGTCAGTGAAAAGTGGACCAGATTGAATACCACGACGTGACATATCACATGAAAAGGCACCAATTCTTGGGAGAGCTGAAGTGACAGAGTTGGTACCTTGTGAGGACCATAATCTTTCAGCAACACCGATTGCTCTTGGCCAAACTCTAACATCCCAATTAACTTCACTAACTTGTTCAGCAAACATAGCAGCTTCACCACCAATAATGTTTTGGGCATTTGAGGTAATACCATTGACTGGATCAGCATTGTAGAAATCTTGCCATGTATCTTGCCATTCGTAGTGAGTGTTACCATCTGGTACTTGTTTATCTAAATACCAAGCGAATGAAACAATTGATTTATAACCACTGTTAAGAATACCTTGAAGGTCTGCACCTGAGCTCCAAACTTGAACAACAGTATCTGGGGATAATTGTACACCATAGTCGATTGGATCGTTCCAAGTCATCTTAGTACGATTAATTACTTTCATAGTAACATCGAGACTATAAATTAATAAATAAATAAATTAATAAATAAACATTAAAAATAAACATTAATATAAAAAAAATAATATCTTACTTATTTTCAAAATATTGGAAGGCATCGGTAGTGGAGAAACCCATTTTTTCCATCCATGAAACCATATTTTGATCTTCATTCCAACAACCAGTAACAAGTTCATCACCACCAGTATGGAAATGTTGATCTGGGAAAAGTGGGGCGATTTCACTGAAAAAGTTTTGAAGGAAAGTTAAGGTATTTGGATTAGAGATATCTAATGGAATGTTATTAATATTGGCAGCGTAATCTGGACAAGTGCATGTTAACTCTGGATAACCAACACCCCAAGCAGCGGCATGACCTGGAATATCAAACTCTGGAATAACACGAATACCATAGGTTTTGGCATAGGCTACAACCTCTTGGATATCATCATGTGAGAAAACAGCTTTTGGACCAAAGGCAGCTTGGGTTAAATCTGGATAGGTTGTTGATTCTACAGCAAATGATTGAGCATCAACTAAATGCCAATGCATAGTGTTGAATTTGTTGTAACCTAAAGCATCGATGATGTGAAGAATGAAATTCTTTGTAATGAAGTGACGTGCACTATCGACCATGATACCTCTCCATGGGTATCTTGGGTAATCAACGATTTGAGCACATTGGATTGAATAGGTGTTACTGGTAACATCATAGACAATCATTTGTTTGAAAGTTTCTAAACCTCTCATAGCACCATAGATTGTATTTGACTTTAATTCAAGGGAACCTTGTGCAATATTTAATGTGTATGATTCATCAATACCTAATTGAAGGGTTTCATCATCACTATTAATTGAAACTGATAAAGTGATTTTATCTGAAGTTGAACTTGTGTTGGTGAATGGGAAGAAAAGATTTAAATATCTTTCAACAGCAATATTGAATGTGGTCGATTGGATACTTGGTGAAATTGAAATTGATCCTGGTGATACTGAAACATAACAGTTATTGGTTAAGGTGATTTGTTGTGGATATGGTACAACATTTTGTCCAAAAACACAAACTAAACCTAATAATGATAAAATTAAAATAATAATTTTATTCATTTTTATTTATATATGTAGTGCTATAACTAAATAAAAAAAATAAAAAAAATAAAAAAAATAAAAAAACTTTTTTTTTATTTTTAAAAATTTTTTTATTTTTTTAAAAACTAAAAAATTTTATTTTTTTAAAATTTTTATTTATTATTTTAAAATATAAATTTACCAAATTTTGGATATTTAATTTGGTATTTTCGAAAATTCTATCCTGGTTACTTTTTTGCAAAGAAAAATAAAAATATCAAAAAAAAAAAAATAAAAAAAAAATAAAAGATATTATTTGTTACTTAAGATTATCTTTATTTTATAAATTATAAAATAATTAGATTTTTATTTTTTTAATTTTGTTTGATTTTTTTTTAAAAATATTAATTTATAAAAAATTATAACTAAACAACTTAAAAAAGTTATTAAAGTGATAATAATACCATCGAAAAAGGTTGGAATCAATTCGATTATACTTGATTTAATAATTATTAAAGCTAACAACTGAGCAACATTTGTTAAGTTTTCTAAAGAAAAGGACAAAGCATTTTTGTTTGGATAAATCATATACTGAGCTGATGAATATAAAATTTGAATTGATACAACAATCGAGAGGAATTCTGAGGAGCTGTAAAGAAAAGATATTGAAAGATATGGATATAGAATATTCTTTATAATTACAACCAATGACCACCACTTAAAACCTTTTCTGTAGTGTCTAGTATTTCTAAATACTCTATAGAGTGTTGTTGAAAAGAATGGTCCATTTTTGGTTTTGAATACCATTGGATAAAAGCAAATATAGGCCACTACTAACGGTAACAAAAATATTACAAGGAATAAAACTACAATACTAACAGAGAAGAAAAGAATTTGTAAAGGTGTTGATAAGAATGGTATGGTGAGATCAATTGACAATAATTTTTGATTTGCAATGGTCTTGGGTATTATAAGAGATAGTAAATTGAATAATAGTGGTTGAAGTATGATTAAATATAAATTCCATGCTACTCTAAGACTATTTTCAGATCCATAGTTTCTGGAATTTATGTGTCTTCTTAAATTTCTTCTTATAGTATTGGGTATCTTATTTGAAAGCTTTGGAGATAATCTGAGGAAAAATAAAATTAATTTTGCACTTATATTTGATAAGCCAACTAAATAAACAAATACGATTGAAACAATTGAGATGGAGGCTTTTTCAAAATAGTTTAATTTGAATAGGCAAAAGTTGTATACATAGTCAATTGAAAATCTAAACATTGGTAAGAAATAAAGACCTTCATATGGGAAAAATAAGATTGACATGGTTTGAATATGTAAAATTAATGAACCTGAAACTGTACCAGGGAAGCTGTGTTTGAACATCGAAAGTGTTAAACCAAACACAATTAAGTAAAAAATAAATGGTATTATTAGAATTGGTTCAAAATGACCACAGCAATGGATTGTATTTTTTGAAATAGATAAGCCTGAAATTGGATCATTCAAGCATCTTGAGCACAGTGGACTATCATCACCAAATAAATATAGGGATGTTGATGGACATGTATTATTGGAACCACACATACCGGTTGGGCATTCATACACAAAATTTACATCTTTGCCAATCATAAAATAATTAATTTTTGTATAGACTTGACTATCTACGCAAACCATTTCATTTGAGGGGCATTTTGCACATTTGCCTAACGATTCGCTATATGATTCTTTTGTTGAGCAATATTTGCAACCTTCGTTAGTCATTATTTGAAAATCATCGCAAAAAGTTGCTGGCTTCTTTGTCATTGAAAGGCTAATATAATCTAAATCATCGATATACATTGATAGGTCAAAACCACCAATATGGATATTAAACGAGTAGTTAAAACTACTTAGACCACCTTTAAAATATAATGTAAAATTTGTAGTTGAAAATGTTATGGATGATTGAATAATTGTTAAGTGGCCTACATATATATCATCAGATACTAAATTTGAATAGTCATCTATCAAAAAAATACGGTTTGATGTTGATAATACATTGACAGGAAATTCAATTTGAATAGAAGATGGGTCTAAAATAATTATGATTAAAGTTAATATTTATAGGTTTTAAAAATTAAATTATATATAATGTAACAATCTTGAATACATACCTGAACCTAAATCATCACCATAAACTGAATTGTTATTTTCAAATAAATTATCTGATTTTGTTTTATTATCATCTAAAATAAAACCACTTGTAAATATAGCACCACCAATGGAAGCACTATTATTAATAAAGAGATTGTTGCTTAGAGTAAGTGGAGTTGAATTGTTTAAAAATAATGCGCCACCATTACCCAGAACTAAGTTTCCAATAAAACTTGAGTTTATAATTGAAAATTGAGAGGCATCAGAAATTTCTATTGTTCCTTGAGTTGAAGAAGTTTGTTCCACCAAAACTTTAAAAAATGTTACCGAGGTATATTTTGTTGATAATAAATATCCTGAAAATGGAATCGAGTTATTGGAAAAACTACTGTAAGATATGGTCATTGTGGAATTTAGTACTTCTATTAAACTTGAGGTCCATTGAAAGTTTGAATTGATTGTAGAGTTTGTAATTAAAATTTGGGAATTAAAAAAGCTGAGCGATGAGGGTTGTCTTCCTGCATCTAAAAGGTTATCTACATTTTGGTTATATGAAAAAGTGAATGAACGAAGTGTAATTTTGGATCCATAGGTTTCTATAATACTTCCCATAAAATAATTTGAATCAATTTTAAAATTATTTAATGTAGCATCGGTATTATCAAAAAAAATTAAATAAAGCAGGGATGAGACTGGGTTCCTTGAGAAATTTAAATCATCTAAATTGATAGTTGAGCCAGTAGTATGTAAAAATACACCAGAGTTGTTATTAAAGGAACTGTTACTAATCACAATTATAGAGTTTATCGATCTAATACCTGTGTTCATTGAATTTGAATTCATTGTGGACTGATGTAAATTAAACGTTGAAGATTTGCTGACATAAAACATTTCTGTACCATAAACATTGTTGTTAAGTGTTGTGCAGGAGTATAAATCTACACTTGAATATTCAATATAAAAAATTTGATTTTGGAAGAATGAATTTGAGAGAAAACTATTATAAACAGAGACGGTACTATGTTCAAATTGAGCAAAAGCATGAAGACCCATACTAAATTCTGAAAAAATGCTGTCTGAAATAGTGATATAGGATTCTACTGAAGATAAAAAATTATTACCAATGGTATACACTGTTTCTATTTTGGTATCATTAACTTTTAAAATTGAGTTTATCAAAGTTATTGAGGAATATCTTGAAAATAAATGCGAAAATGTGCAATTTGAAATGGAAACATTTGATCCTTCGCTATAGATTAAAAGAGATGAGTTTGAAATAATACTACTATCCAATTCAATTGTTGAGCCATATTGTAAATTGAAAATATATGATAGACCCATTAAACTATAGCTTGAAAAGGTAGAGTTACTAACTGAAATTATAGAGTTCTTTAAAAGAAAAACATTGTCTATATTATTTGAGTTTTCAATTACAATACTATCGATGATAATATCCGAGTTGACAATGTTAAAGCTATCTATATTTTTAAAACTAGAGGACAAGATCGAGATATTGGTTCTTTGGGAGTACCCATACTCTGATGGCATCATTATTGGTGAACCATGCTGGAACTCATAATATAGGTTTAGATTTTGAATTGTAATGGATGATGGACCGCTTACCAAAATTAAAACCAAGCTATTTCCCTCTACATCTAGGTCATTAATGTAAAGATCACTATTTTGGGAGACATCAATAAATACTGGAATAAACATTTTTCTCGCTTTTACACTACTGATGAATATTTGACTACCAGAGTAAATCCTTAAAAAGGAGCTGAGCAGGTACCAATTGTTAAAAGATGTACCAATAATATTTATAGTAGCACCAGTAGAACGAATCATTGATTCAAAGAATTCACCAGTACTGGTCATTACAGTATCCACCAGATCTAATCGATTCCCAGGCAGTAGAAGAAACACTTGAAGATTATTTGAATAGTCATAAACTAAACTGCAGTTATTAAAAACAACTTCGGTACACACATCACTTTGAAAGTATACCAATGAGTTATTTAAAAAACTATCTAAATAAAAAACCAATTGTGGGGACGCTGTAAAAATATTTGTACCAAATAATCTTGAGTTTACGAACACGGTTGTTAAACTATTGATTGTAAATGATATTTCTACAACTAGAGATGAATCAATTGTCACATTTCTATAGCTATACGTTGTATAATCTATGCATCCATCAATGGTTTCGTTGATTCTATTAACTACCACAGTAGAGTCATTGTTTGATATAAATATACTTTTGAAAATTGTAAATTCAAATTCGTTTAAATATGAATCATTTGTATCATTATATAAAAAATTGATACCATATAATATAAAAATTGAACTATTTGTGTGAATATTTAAATTTAAAATATTTATTTGAAGGTTATCATTGTATTTAAAATTATTATTACTATTTATATTGTAATCATTTATATTGGGGTGATTTAAATTAATATTGTCTTTATTATTATTGTTATTGTTATTATTATTTTTATTATTGTTATATGAGATGAAGTAAACAGATTTATTTGTAAGATTTAATGTACATGAATAGTTCTCGTCATAAGACCCAGGAAATATAAAAACACCAGTTGATTTATTTTCTGGCAAATCTAGTTCCTGAATTAATGATGCTATTTTACAAAATGTGCCATATGGATTATTAACGGTACCATTACCAGTGGTATCATTCCCATTGATTGCTATATAATATTCTATTTCGAAATAATCATTTTTTATATTATTTAAATAGTTTTTATAGTGATTATATTCATTATTATTATATATATTATTATTATCTAAATCATTATAGTTATAGTTTATTTTATCATATATTATAAAAGAGTTTAGTGTATCGTATTGATCAATACTATTATTACTGAAGTCATTATTATTGTCATTGTTTTTATTATTATAATATATATAATTTTTATTATTTATTAAAGCATTACAATTTATAATCTTTAATAAAATTAAAATTATTATTATAAATGAATATTTCATTTTATTATTATATCATGTCTTTTATTTATTTATTTATTGGTTTGGTTTATTAAATTTATTTTCGAAAATTTGAAAAAAATTCTAAAAAATTGTTAAAAAAATTCGGATATTTTTATTTTGTTTTTTTTTTTATTTTTTTTTTTTTTATTTATTTAAAACCTAATTTTTCTTGAATTTGGATATATAAATTATAATAATAAAAATATTGAATGGTAATAAAATTGATATACAAGTACCCACATTTGAATATATTAATTCTGGTAAAACTTTTTTGAAAAAATTTGAATCTACCAAAACTAAATTGATTAATTGGAATAAATTGAAAGAATTCTCTATTTTGTATAAGACATTGTTTTTTTGTGGGTGAAAAATATATTGGATATAGGAATATAGCACATGAATAAAAATCATTGAAAATAAATGAAAATTTGGTGAATATAGTGTTGTTATAGTTAAAATTGTAAATAAAAAACTTTTTAAAATAAATATCAAATCCCACCATTTAAAACCATTTCTATAATGATTTGATATTTTTTTAACTGTTATACTGTTTTGATTTGATTGATTGTTATTATTATTATTATTATTATTATTATTATTATTATCAATATTGATATTACTTTTATTATTATTATTATTGTCATATCTACTATTGTTTTTATTAATTATTAAATTTTTGTAGTTATTATAAAAATATAATGAAAATTTGATGGGTACTATTATTAAAGCTACAAATAATATTACACAACTAAGAGAAAAGAGGATCCAATGACTTATAAAATGATTGAATAGTACGGAAATATCTATTGCTAAAAATGTTTGATTGTTAACTTTTTTGGGAATTACTGCTGATAGAGTAATGAATAGCAGTGGTTGCAGTGTCATCAAAAAAATATTCCATTGACCAATTGAACTGTATTTGTACTCTGTTTTTTTGAATAGTTTAATGTTGGTTAAAATAGAATTTGGGATAATTTTAATAAGTTTGGTTGATTTTTTATTTGATAAAAAATAGTAAATGACCCTAAATCCAAAATTTGAATCGCCAATGAAAGATATCATTAAAAGTGATAGTATTGAAAGTATTGATTTGTAAATATAGTTGATTTTGAATGTACAGTAGTTCTCTATGTAATCAATGGACATTCTAAATAAAGGTACAATATAGAAGCCCCTATATGCATAAAATATAATCGAGTTCCATTGAATCGTTAATATTACTGGGCCAAGTAGACTGTTTCGGATGGTGTATTTATTAAGCGATAGTATAAAACCAAAAACTACTACAAATGATATATAACCTAAAAATAGAGTAGGTTTAAAATGTTGGCAGCAGAGTAGCCCGTTTTTTGATTCTGATGGGAAAATGGATATATCAGTATTATATTTATCAGCTTGTTGGTCGGTTATACATCGAGAGCATAGACTACCATTAGCAATACTAGAATAGCATTGATTGGAACCCAAGCAAATATCTACTGGACATTGGTAAACTTTAAAATCAAAACTATTAAAACTTGGGTTTGAGGAAGAGTTTGGGGCTTGGTTAATAATTAAATAATAATCCTGAATCACAATAATTTCTTGATTATAGCATTTTAGAGTCGATGGACATTCTGTGCATACACCACGAAGTGAAACTTGGTTTGGTGGGCAAAATGAACATTCACCAGTGTTTGGATCATACAATTCGTAGTCCAAACATTTTGCTCTTTCTTTATATGAACCGCTTGTGAGGTTTAATGCTGGTATTTCAATTGAAACAAAAAAGTTTAAAAGTGATTCTGGTGAAAAATACCTAAAGTTAAATGATCCAATCCCACCTTTGAGTATAATTGGGTTAAGAACATTTGATATAACTGTATGATTATTAAATATTTTATTAATATATACATTTGCAACATAATTTAAGTCTGAAATTAAATTTCCATAACGATCTATAAGTTTAATATTTGTGTTTGTATCTTTATCTCTATAATCGTCCAGTGGGAAATCTATTAAAATTTTATATGGGTCTAAAAAATTTAGTTAGTAAGATGCACATGATAGTAATATGTAAAGTTACTTTAGGATCTACTTACAGCTAGCTACGATATTGCCATAAATTGCTTTGTTTTCTATGTACTTATTTCCTAAATAATAGTATGATGTCAAATTGAAGTATAGATCCGTAAAAAATACACCACCAATTGGAGAGGAGTTTTTTGTAAAGTTATTATTGTTTAAACTATAAAAAATTGAAGAGTAATCTAAATAAGCAATACCACCTAATCCATTATTAGAGTTTGATGTAAAGCTACATCCATTAATTGAAATGTATGATTTGTTGTATATCTGAATTGTGCCTGTTGGAAATGAATTACTATTCATTAAAGTGTCCATAAAAGTAGTGAAAGCATTATTTGAGTTTATTAATGTACCTTCTTGGTGTTGGTTTTTATTGAAAGATATATCGCAACTGTAAAAACGAATTCTCCCACCTGTTACTGAAAATAAATTGTCATTCGATAGAATGATATTTTGAAGAAAAAAAGAATCTCGAAATGTGGTCGTTGAAGATTTAAAATTGAATAGTGGGCTTCTTTTTATCAATGCCATAGTATTATTGGCAAAATAAAATTTACCTATAGAAACTATGGAGGATGTTGAATCTATAATTGGGTCAATTGTTTTAGTTTCTGTGATATTTAATCTTTCGATATCTATATTAGAGTTATCAAATGCAAAATGGGAACCTTTTGAAACGGCTTGATTCAATTTTAAATCGAAAACATTTGAAGTAAGATAACTATGATTGGTGGCTCTTAAAAAAGTACCGGAATTTTCTAAACATTGAGTCCAGGTGAAATTCATCCAACCATAGTTTGAGGTTACAGCGCTTGAAAAAATATTATATTCTATAATGCAATTATTAAGTGATAGGCTTGATTGGTCTATATAAATTGCATCTCCATTATTAATATTTCTATGAATTAAACAAGCATCGATAAAAACTTTGGATTTTTCGCTGATTAAGAAAATATTGTTTTGAAAAAAAGAATTTTTAATTGAGGTTTTCTTGAGGTATGCTGTAGAAGATTGAAAAGTGATTAATGGTTGAGTTCCAATATTTGATGAATCGAATGTAACATTAAAAAAAGATATGTCTGAATGGTGAGCATATATAAAACTTTGGTCTGAGCATGAAAGGGAACCAAATATTACATTATCCATTGATAGAGTTGAGTTTTCGCCAATGTCCATTGCTCTAGTACCCTTTGAAAATATATTATCAAAATTACAATTCCTAATTTCAATTGTTGAATTTGATGTTGAGCTGATAATATTGGAGGATTTGTGCACTTCGGAAAACAGCATCGAGAAGCTTGAGTAATCTTGCAAAAGAATTAAATATGAATTGCTACCCAGCGTGTTTCCACCTGTAATAAGGGTTTCATTTAGGACTAGATTACTAGATATAGCTGAAAAGAGTGTACCTGAATTCTCTAAATTATTTATGATAACTTGATCCATATGGATGATGGCATTCAAAAAACCAAAACCTCTTATTAATTTAAAATTTGATTTTGAAATGTTTATTATAGATTTCTTTCCGGATACTGAATCGAGTGTCATATATATTGGATATCCATGGGTGTGATATGACATATTATTAAAGGTAACATTTGAGGCAGAAACAATTTGAACATATACAAAATTTAAAAAACCATCATTTAAAACAAAAGTGGAGGAAATGGAATCCAATAAGAGAGTTGAACTTTCTAAATAAAAATAGTATTTGGTAAATATGGCGAAAAATGTACTGTTTTTGATGTTTATGTTGCTGTTGTCGGTAGCCAATAAAAACTCTGATGAAAAAGAAAACATTGATATTTCAGAATTTTCAATAAAAATAGAAGCATTGCTTGACTGTATCATTCTTGGTATTTGAGTTGCTCCAGAACCTAAAATTTTTGTGTTGGTTATATTTAACGTGTTTCCACTGTATAGAATAAATGGCTGTACAATAACTTCATTGTTACGATAGAAAAGTTGACAACCATCAAAAGTAATTACTACAGGACCACCAAAATTTAAAACAGATAGTTGTTTTATAGAACAGTTTATATATGTATAGATTTTTGGTTTATTGAATTGGTTATTAAAATAAATAGATTCATATTGGTGAAAAGAATTACTTGAGATTACAGTACTACTTGAATCAATAAAAAGTTTGATATAGTTGAAATTTGAATGATTAATATAGATGGATGAGTTGAATATATTAAAGCTATATATAAAACTAGATGCTTCCAATTCCATTCTATTAAAATATACAGTCGATTCCATTAAGTCCATAGATATTCCTAGAGTTTGTGAGTACATAAAAAGAGAATCTTCAAATACTAAACTGCATTTCAGTATACTAAATGCCTGGTGGGAACTATCGGCTGTTATAAAAACACTTGATAAAAAATAACTTGAATTGAAAAGTTTACTTTGAAAATTTAATAACTTTGTTACCTCATCACTACTATAATCAAAATTATTATTATTACTATTATTATTATTATTATTAATTTTTATTACACCATATATATTAATTTGAGTATAGTTGCTGAAATCTGCTGTACAATTGCTACAGTCATATTCACCACTTCCTATGTACACATTGATTTCTTCATTTTTATTTAGATTATTTATTACACTTATTGCTTTACAAACACTATAATATGGGAAACCTAAGGTACCATTGTTATTATCACTACCGTCTTTATTTACATATATATTATTATCTATATTATTTATATTATCATTTATATTATTTACAAGTATATTATTATCTATATTATTTACATTATTTATATTCATAAATTGTTTGGAAAAATATATATTACAAATTAAAAAAAATATGATTATAAACTTTTTCATTTTATAAATAAAAAAGTGATATATTATAGATTACACATTAGCATGATTGATTTAATTTAATGCATTATTGTAAAAAAAAATCTTAGGAAAATTTTTTTGAAAATTTAAAAAAAAAGTAAAAAAAAAAAAATATGGGTATATTTTGTCGTAAAAATTATTGATCAATAATTTTGTGTGGTTGTATTATCATAATTTTTATTATTTATTTTTTTTTAATTTAACAAAAATTAATTTGAAAATATTTAAAAAGAGAATTAAAAATAATATATTTGAACCTGTAATGATTAAACCTGCTGTATATAAAGTTGAATATTTTAACAAAAGATCTGAATTTAAAACCAAATAAAGTATTAAATTTGAAATATTTATAATGACTTCAAAATTATATTTTTCAGTATTTTTTTGTGGTTTTAAAGAGAAATGGAGAAGTGTGTAGCCGCATTGAATCGTTACTATTATTAAAAAGAAATGGCTTGGGTAGTATGCCATAGAAACGGTAAGCACTGAAACTATAATATTCCTTAAAATGTTGATTAAATCCCACCATTTAAACTTTGATTTATAGTGATCATTTGATGATTTAAAAAGCTTTGATATATTTTGATTGTACAATA